TGTCCCAGGCTCGAGATTCAGCCGCTGTTGAAACTGATCAGTGGCTGATTCCAGGAAGCTGGGGGCAGAACAATTCTGCCTCCAGCTTCCTGTAGTCAGCCCCTGGTCAGTTTCAGCAGCAGCGGCTGAATCTGGAGCCAGTTCCGACTTACATACAAATTCAACTTAAGAACAAACCTATAGTCCCTATCTTGTACGTACCCGGGGACTGCCTGTACTGATAATACCAGTTGCTGAAAATGTAGGAGCACTGTTTATGCCGGTCACTGGGAACACTCCTTTATCTTTTGACCAGACTTATGATGGTTTTTCTCTCTGTCCTTCACACACTGGCATATTAACAAGTGAAGCAAGAATAGCTGGGAGTGGAATGGACAGGAAGAATGGCAACAACATGTATAGCACTCCCAAACAGGGTATGACTCGGTGACAGCATATCAGGAGCAAGTCAGAGGAACTGCCTAAAAGCATGACATTTGAGAGGCACGTCTGTGGCAGTATGACCAACATGGAGATAATTGTGTCATACAGTTTCAGCTTTTCAAATGCAAGGCTGGTACAACATAAACACAGCCATTATGAAACATAATTACTGAGCCTGAACTACAAGCCATTTTTAAACTTAATCATCAATAAAAAAAAAAACCCTGCCAAACCAATGGATTTTCTAGAATAGAAAATATTCTTGGTGTAGGGTCAAATAAGAGCAATGAAACCACGTAAAGCCCTTTTGTAACATACCTAAAAGGAATATTTGCAACCAAGCTTGGTAGCCTATATGTCAGATTTCAGTCCTATGACATTTAAAAGCTGAGCTACAGTATAAACATCCATCATGTTAATGTGATTGCTTTTAATGGCTGGAAGGCCACATGAAAGAAATGACACATTTCCCATCCTCCCCCTGTTCTCTTTACCCAAGAAATAAGTACTCTGCCTCACTAGCATGCCCAGACCCTATTACTTTAAGATCAAGGGATCCTGACCAAGAAGCTGCTGTGCCTCCAGCCTGCAAGACACAGTACTCTATTTAATAATAAATAAGATCAGCAACTGGAAAGTCAGGGAATGCAGGTGAGACAGGTGCTACTAGAGCATCAATATATCTCTGATGATTCTCGCCGACAGAATAACTCCTCATGGAACAACATCTGATGACCCTGCACTAAGATAGCAAGCTCTTTGCCTTTATTTTCTGTACCAATAAAGTGAATCAGCATTGAAGGTGTGCATTGCATGAGCTGTAATTTTCTCTCCTCCATTCAAGATGTCTTCCTTCAATAATGATCTCTCTACTTCTCTCATCCAAAAGGGTCCAGATAGAAACAAGCCTCCCTCTCTTGCAGAGGTATGCTGGACACATCTCCCTTGCCAACTGGACAGTGGTAGTTTCTTTGTGTAACTAGAGCAGAGGTGAGCAAATACCAGCCTATGGGTTGTATCTGGTCCACCAGGTTAGTCCCTGGTGGGTCGCCACCACTATATTTACTTGTGCCTCCGCATGTCCAGGTGATTGCATCTCCTGTTGGCTACACATTGCTGTTCCTGATGAATTGGAGCTATGGAAAATGGTGTCCCAGTCTGTGCTGCTTCCTGCAAGTCCCATTGGCCAGGAACGGTGATCTGAGGCCAAAGAGAACTGCAATTGCTGGTATCTGCAAAGTTGCAGGTAAATATAGTGGCAACGGCCCACCAGGGGCTAACCCTGGTAAATCGCTGCCATTTTATTGCCCACCCCTGAACTAAAGTGATTACTGGTGAAATTAACAGAAAATTCTAATTTCCAGATAGGTTTATTATCACCTACAGTATTTGCTAACTCTGTGACAATGTATAATTTGAATGGTTCCAGTTTTCAGGTGTTATAAATAGGAGTAGTGACAGTGAAATCATTGCTTCTGTTTATTTCAATGAAACTATAACAGCCTACACCAGCTGAGGATTGGGGACAAAATGTGTAGCACAAAGATCTTTATCCTAAGTGTTTCTGAATACTAAAAAAACCTCCCCATATTCAACACAATCACATGCCTTTTCATCAACATTACTCAGACTTCTTTTCACAATAGCCCCCCTCAGAGACCTGAATTTATATCCTGACATCAGGTCACAAGTGAACATTAATTATTTCTGGTCACCAGTAGTGCACATTATTTAACAATCACAAAGTTCAGAATAATTCACAATCTCTGTGAAAAATGGCAGGAGCGAAAGTATAATAGTAAAGGCATCGTAGGTCAGGAACGCCATAAGTTGGTATACTGCATGGGGGGAAGTTTGTACAATGTCCACCCAGCGTGTACCTGGCTTAAATCAATACTATTGCTACCTCACTTTCATTAGTACTAAATATACTCCAGTTCTCTTAATAATATAAAGATAGACTCCTTGATCTCAGGGTAGCAGAACAGTGAGCCATGGGGGAGACAGATATTGGTCTCATGTAAAAACTTACATTGAATGACTTAAATAACTTAAATGGATTACATTTGACAGACAGTTCAGATTGGAAGAATTACCAGCTTCTATCTAAGCCTCAACTACTGTCTTCATTGTGACACTCTTCTTTTCCAGCTCTGTCTTTGATGAGAGAAAATTCACTCTCCATGCTAGCTTAATCCTAAATAATGCTTGCCATCTGTGATGAAGTCTTGGTCACAAAGTATGGTCAGACTACAATGAGTTCATTCATTTAAAAGCTGCTTTACTAGGAATAACATCCTGATAAACAGGAACAGTTCTCTGGCACATGTAGAATGATGTATAGTTCCAGAGTCATAAAGTATACATTGCAATTATATTACATTATAGAGCTACTTGAGAAACAGCTAGTTACTTTGTCAGTGTGATCATTTGTAGTAATACAAGGGGCAGATAAATTCAGTAGTACTCAGTAGACTTGGTCAGAAAAAATTAAGTAAAACAATTTTTTTCATGGAAAATGCAGTTCCATAAAACCAAAATGCTTTACAAAATGTTCTGTCATTAATTCACAGACACACCTTCCTCAATACATATTCTTTCCTTATAAGATAACCATGAAGGTGATTTACTTAAGAACATTATTACAGATCTGCGATGTGACTTTATGCACCACCCACCAATAGCCCCAGAATTCCCTGGGCTTCAGACATCCATATGAGGTATATTACCCTTGATATACATCCACTGCCACCCAGGATGAGGAGCAATACGTTGCTGCTGGCATACAGCAGCAGTAAGTAATGACACCATGCACACTGGCTCAACGGAGCTGATCAGTGAATTAGTGGATTTGACCAATGCTCCGTCACCTATTTCCTGCCACTCCCTCCCCACCTGCCCCAGGAGAAGGTAGTAAGCAGGCTTGCCCAGACTCTTGGTATGTGAAGGGGTTCTTACTTTTCCTTATTCCCTTGTGTAGGCACACAGTCCAAATGACTGTTACACCCTTTGAATTTATGGCCTTGGTTTCAAAACAGTCTTAAACTTAGCTCCCTTTTTGCACCCTTGTTTATATGTGGGCACTATTTATGTCATGTCAGGTATATCTAAATACCTCTTTTTGGATACAGACATGCACTCAGATGATAAATGAAACATTGTGCCCACAAACGGCTTGCACAAAAAGGGAGGCAGGGTTTTTCTTTGTGTTTCTTCTTTCTCTGTCTGTCTGTTTATTTGTAGTAGAACAAATCACTGTATTGCATTTAGGAGATAAAAGGCTCTTACCCGGTTGCCTTCAAATCTTGAGCGATCAGTGTTTTCCTTTGCTGTCTTTTCTGCAAGTTTCTTCTGCCTTTGAGGGCCTTTTCCAAAGAAGATGTAATTAACAAAGGCGTATTCAAGTAAGGCCAAGAAGACAAATACAAAGCAGCCCATAAGATACATGTCAATGGCTTTAACATAGGGAATTTTAGGCAAAGTCTCCCGAAGATGAGTGTTGATTGTTGTCATAGTCAGTACAGTTGTAATTCCTAAATAAAGAAATAGAAGGGTGGGCATCTTATATGTTTCAGTAGATCATGTATTAGTTTTCTCTTCTGTTTTGGAAAGTTTCCTTCATTAGCTTGGCGTAACTTAAACATATTGGGGAGTAGGGTGGAACCAATGGCATCACACTGGGGCATAATTTGGCTCAGTACACTAACACTGGGAGTTCAAAGCATGATGGAATCAAACTGATCCTTGTATCAGCCTTGTCATTTATACATTTCAACATATCTTAGAACATATTAAACTGTTTACCAGTCACACTACAGGATATGCCAACTCTGAAATTAAATACTCATAGCTGGCCCATTTTTGCTGAGTTGATCTTGCAGGGTTTGATTTACAGGGTTGTAACATTTTGATGTAGGCATTGATGCTCAGGTTGGGACCTCAGCTCTGGGATCTTGTGATGGGGGAGGGTCCAAGAGCCTGGACTCCAATCCAAGACGAAATATCTATGCACGGTGTTACAGCACTGCAGCCTGCCCTGAGAGCCCAAGTCATCTGACACTGGCCAGCCTGGGCATTTAATTGCAGTGTACACATACCCTCAGAGGAACTTAACCTTTAGGAAAACACAGACCTCTTGCAGAAGTCCTAGTCAACAAGGTTCTATAAGTGAATCCCTTCCTAAGCAAACATCTAAGCTAGACAGGATCTGAAACAACATAGTACTGCAGTGCAGAGTGAGTGTTAAACGCCATCATTCTGGTTTGAGAGCATTTTACACCCATTTTGCACTAGTGTATGTGACTACACAAGATACAGAGTACTCAAGGATCAGGCTTACCATCTTGAATGTGATGCAGGACAAGGGGATAGCTTACGGATTTTAGGTGGCATCCTCCATAATAACTTAGGAATACTGGCTGCTTTCACAGGAGAACCTGCCAGATTGATTTTTGGCCTTTGAAGTGGAGTCTTGGTCAGGGTTACCAACAGACTTTGCCAGATGCTAGGTAATGTGTGTGTCAGGGGTGGCGGAGGGGTGGAGGAGAAGGGGACTCAAATTCAGGCCACACCAGAAGAGTGTGGCTTTGGGTGGAAGGGTTGGGAATATGGGCAGCAAGCCCTCAGAACTGCCCAGGCTGACTCTTGCAACTCCTTTGAGTGTGGCTGACTAATTGTTATTTTTATTCTCAGAGGGGTAGCTGTTTTAGTCTGTAACTCAGTGTCGGACCGAGCCATACTTGTGCCCTGGGCAGTGGGCGTGCAGCGCAGGCGCAGCCCAGCCCCAGGCGCACGGCTCATGCGCAGCCTGGCCCCAGCGATGCGGCGCCTCTTACCACTTCAATCAGGCGCCCCCCATAGTTGGCGCCCCAGGCAGCTGCCCGGCTAGCCCCCCAGCTAGCCCCTTTCTTAATCCGCCCCTGCTGTAACTGAAAACACTTTTTAAAAATAGTTCTGCAGCACCTTAGGCTATGTCTAGACTGCAGGCTTCTTTCGAAAGAGCCTCTTTCGAAAGAGCCTCTTTCGAAAGATCGCGTCTAGACTGCAGGCGGATCTTTCGAAAGAGAAATCCGCTTTTTCGAAAGAGAGCGCCCAGCGAGTCTGGATGCTCTCTTTCGAAGACGGCCTCTTTACATTGAAGAACGCCTTCTTTCGAAAGAGGGACTTTCGAAAGCCCATGAAAGCTCATGTTATTATTATTGTTTATTACTTGGGTTGCTTTAGAGCCTAGGAACCTCTGATGTTGACTAGGACCCCGCCCTCTATGCTAGTGCTGCGCAAACAAAAGATAAAAAGTTAGTTCCTGCCTCTAAATTGGGGTAGAACTCATAACATTGGGGGAATATTTTCATACATGACACTCCCCCAAACAAAAAAAAGCAGTACACTAAAACTGGTCAGCAGCCTTACAGAGTTCTCTCTTTCCAGGTGCTCCAAGAAGAGAATTGCAAAAAGCATGATATGGCTTATATCTGTTTATTCATTGCCACAGTTTCAGTGGGAGCTTAAAATAGAAATAGTGATTGGCTCACCACTACTGTCCACTGTCTTTTAAAAGGGGTCTATAATAATATGTAGTGTATCTCAATGATAATTGAAATATAATATATGGCGTGTTTTGAAATCACTGCCACAATCCTAAAGGAAACTTTCATCTGAAAACTTTAGGGCCAGATTGTTAATTTATTGTTCCAATCTAGTAGGACAAACTGGGACAAAGAGTACTTAAAACTGCTCTAAAAATACATCTGGAAATTCCCAGAGGGGTAAAGTTGGTACCACCTGCTGTCTGCATTCTCCACACTGGGCCTATATTGTGAGACTGGGAAGGTACAGCAGGGCCAGTGGCTGGAGCATCCTATCATCTCACAATTTCTGAGCAGCAGAATTGTTCTTGAGGACTGTTCCTACTATGTAAGTTAGAACAACCCTAAAACTTGGGCCAAGAGATGGCTTAGTCCCTGCTCAAAAAGATAGCTTGGCACCACTTTACCTCCCTCCCACTTGGCTGGTGCTGCGCAAACCACTTTACCTCCCTCCCACTTGGCTGTGCTAAGCATGAATACAGCTGAGACTCAAGCCCTCAGAGTATCATCCTGGAATCTGCCACCACTGAAGTCATTGGCAACATGCCACTGATTCTAATGTGAGCAAGACTGGGCTTTGTTTGAGGAACTCACATTAGAGATTTAATGATAGTTACATTCTGCATTGAGAGAACAAGCCATTATTGACTCAACACAAAATGACATGATTTTGGCATAAGTGAGGTTGGGATATCAAAATACTGACATGCTGCCATCTTTAACAACTTCTGAAGGCTACATTTAGTTTGACATTTTAATGTCCCACTCATCCTTATCACATACCAAGGGCAACTCTTGCTGCTGATGCATCATAATTGATCCAGAATGACACCCATGACAAAATGGTAATCAGTATAGAGGGCATGTAGGTCTGAAGAATAAAATATCCAATATTTCTCTTCAACTTAAAGCTCAGTGAGAGTCTTGGATAGGCACCTAAGAAAAAGGGGGAAAATAACACTTATTTATACTGAAAAAAGACCCTGGTAGACAAAATACTTTAGTTTCCATAGAAACTAAATCATGTACCTTTGATGGGATGTTATGACATTTATAGAACAGAAGGGTAAATGCCTTACGTGTATTACTGGTTACCAAATGCATGCTATTCAAAAGGAATTCTGGACTTTCTGCAGAGAATGCCCTAATATTAAAACTGGTTGTATTTTATGGAGAAAAGAGGTACTAAGATAAAATTTTAATTATAAAACAATTGGCTGAGCTCTAGAATTTTTGTAATAAGTGATGCTTAAATCTCTATGTAAAATCTAATATATAAACGAGAATGTTTGTACACTAATAACTTGGACACTATAAGAGCTACCGCAACCAAACTTTGCATGGGGTAACCTTTTATCCAGGAGAAGGTTTTAAGGAAATGGGAGGAAAGAGATGAGAGATCGACGCTTCTTCCCAGGGCTGCACGGAGCTTGGCAGTGCAAGGAGAAGCCGCTTCCTGGGGAAAACAGCAGGGCCAGTCACTCACTAAGGCCAGCGGAGGGACAAGGAAGCAGAGGGCAGGCTCGGGCGCCAGCAGCAAGCACGCGGCTCCTTTCCTCCTTCCTCCCCTCAGGCTCCTCACCTCAGTTATATCAACTGTCAACTTATATTTCAACAATGTATACTAACAAAGCGCAAAGACAGTCACTTAAAGTAGTTAGAATTGATTTGGAGACATCTTGCTTTTCACATGGACAACTCTATGTTGTGTGTTCAAGAGTTGGAAGTGGAAAATCGTGGTAGACAGTAACTTACAACGTTTAAGATCAGAAACAGTATTATCGGCTGAACCCTCCCCTCCACTCTTAGGGCACATTTACACAGCTGGGCTAAACCTGAAATAAGCTACATAACTTCAGCTACATCAACTGCTTATTTCAGCTTTTGGCACTGACACTCTTCCTCCAACTTCCATTATTCCTTGAGGGTATGTCTACACTGCAGTGTTATTTCAAAATATCTTATTTTGAAATAGCTTATTTCGAAATAACATGTTTACACGCAGAATGCATTTTGAAATAGCTCGTCCACACTGAGTGGACTTTGAATTGCCGGAACCGATTCCAGTAGGGCTCCAGGACAGGACTTACTACGTGGGGCTGCTGCTTGAGGCTATCTCAGGTCTGTGCTTAAAGAGACCCCCCCTCCCTCCCCGGACAGCCAGTTCTCAGGTTTCCCTACTTGCTTGTCTACCTCAATGAGGGACAGCAAAGCATTTTGTCTCTGCGTACTCTGATTGCCCTCACTCGGGACACCACAGCACTCGGCAACATGGAGCCAAAGCTGCCTCTGGACACTCTCGTGCTTCTCTTGGATGCGTTGCTGCGAGCCTGGCTGCACTTTCTGCAGGTTGCCATCTGGGAGGTCCATCGGGGTGCTGTCAGTATCCAGGAGGCCCTGAGGGGAAGCGTCCACCCTGAGGAGCACTAAGAGCCTCCCTGGTCTGCCCCACTGGGGGCTTGTACCTCATTCCTCCCTCATGTATTCCACTTACCCCTCCTTAAGCCCCCTTCTTGATGTCAAATAAAATACATATATTTTCATGAACACAAACTCACTTTATTTAACAAAACTGGGGGGGGGGAATGAAAAAGCAAGGGGAAAAGGGGGAGAGGAAGCTCAGAGCTCAGGATTGTGGGTCTCGCCGGACCAACTTGATTTTCATGCAAACCTGTTCCTGGATTTGCCTATGGCTTTTGGTGGCCAGGGTGGCAGCTATCTTGTAATAGACAGCCGTGTTCCTCCATCTAGTGCAGAGATCATGGATGTTGGGGGCATCCCCCCCCCCCCAAACCTGAATAAGATCCATGATCTCTACCCTGGACCAGGAAGGCGCCCACCTTCTCTGGCCCCTGGCAGGCTCCTGGGAGCTGACAGACTGCTCCTGGGGAGTGGTGGAGGGCTGGCTGCCAGTGGCTTGCTGGCTCATGTTTTGGAGCCACTGGGTCATGGCAGTGACTGCTGGCTCTGGGCTGGCAGGCTTGGAGCTGGCACAGGCACTGTGGCCAGAGTCAACATCTTTTAGGGCTCCGGGGTGTGGGGAGGGAGAGAAGTGTTCCTGGTTGAGGCTGGAGTGGTCACCAGGGCACCCTGGGAAGGCTGGAGACCCCCTATTTCGAAATGTGTGTCTACACAGCACTTATTTTGAAATACCTATTTTGAATTTGGCACTATTTCTCATGGAACGAGGTTTACCAAATTCAAAATAAGCCCTCCGCTATTTTGATTTAATTTTGAAATAGTGGTTTGGCTGTGTAGACCTAGTAAAGTTATTTTGAAATAATGGCTGTTATTCAAAATAACTTTGCTGTGTAGACATACCCTAAATGAATTATTTTCATGTTCCATTTATTGAGTGCATTAGTACAATTAACAGTCAAAATGTAATATGATTAACTTAATTTTAATATAATTATAATTAAAATCAATTTTGCATCATGTATTATTTGGATAGAATAACTGTTCCTGAACTGACACTTATCAAATAGACCCACAATTAAAATCAATTTTGCATCATGCATTATTTAGATAGAATAACTGTTCCTGAACTGACACTTATCAAATAGACCCAAACAATGTGAAATGTGCTACCTAAAGTGTCAGAAATAAATTATTTTCAGTAATAGTAAGAAAAAGAACACAACATAAGAATGGCCATACCGGGTCAGTCAAACGGTACTGGGATAGATAAAATGTTTTCAAAACATGCTATACATTATATTTCAATTATCATTGAGATATACTACACATTATTATAGCCTGTTTTTAAAAGTTAGTGGAGAGGAATGGTGAGCTAACCAATATTTCCTCTTTATTTAGTCCAGTATCCTGTCTTCTGACTGTGGTCAATGTCAAGTGCCTTGGAGAGAATGAACAGAACAGGTCATCATAAAGGGCTTGTCTATACAACAGAGAAAATTGACTCTCCGGCGGTCGATCTTCTAGCATTAGAATTAATGAGTCTAGTGAAGACCTGCTTATTTGAATTGAGGGAGTGCTCCCAATTGGCACCGATAGTCCTTTACATCACCATGCATAAGGGAAGTTGCACAGGAGCATTTGCTCCCATCAACCTCCCAATATGTAGACAGCCCAAAAACATGATTTAAAATATGTCAACTCCAGTTATGTAATAAACGTAGCTAGACCTGCATATCTTAAGTAAAATTTCCCCTTTAGTATAGACCAGGCCCAAGTGATCCATCCCCTGGTGTCCTCTCTCAGTTTCTGGCAAACAGAGGCTAGGGACACATCAGAACATAATTTGGCATGCCTGCTAAGCCTGCCAAGTGCCACTGATGGACCTAGCTCAATGAATATATCTAGTTCTTTTTTTAACCCTTTTATAGTCTTGGCCTTCACAACATCATCTGGCAAGGAGTTGCACAAGTTCACTGGGCGTTAAGTGAAAGAAATACTCCCTTTAGCTTGTTTTAAACCTGCTGCCTATTAATTTAATTTGGTGACCTCTAGTTCTTGTGTTATGAGTAGGAATAAATAACTCCTTATTTACTTTCTCCACATGTTACAATTTTATAGACCTCTATCTTTTCCCTGTTAGTTATCTCTTTCCAAGATGAAAAGTCCAAGTCTTATTAATCTCACCTCATATGGAAGCTGTTCCATGCTCCTAATAATTTTTTGTTGTTTGTTTCAGTACCTTTTTCTATTCCAATATATCTTTTTGAGATGGAGTAACCAGAACTGCATGTAGTATTCAAGATGTGGGCATGCCACAGATTTATATAGAGGCAATATGAAATTTTCTGTCTTGTTATCTACCCCTTTGTTAATGATTCCAAAGATTCTGTTATTGCTACTGCATAGTGACAGGATATTTTCAGAGATTTATCCACAATTATTCCAAGATCTATTTTGGGTGGTAAGAGCTAATTTAGACCCACATCATTTTAAATGCATAGTTTTGATTATGTTTTCCAATGAACATTACTTTGCATTAATCAACACACAATTTCATTTGCCATTTTGTAGCCCAATCAGTAAGTTTTGTGAGATCCCTTTGTAACTCTTCATTCTATTTTGGACTTCATTAGCTTGAGTAGTTTTATATCATCTGCAAATTTTGCCATCTCACTGCTTACCCATTTTTCCACATTATTCTGAATATGTTAAACAGAATTATTCCCAATACAGACCCCAGGGGACATCACTACTTCACTCTGTCCATTCTGACAACTGAACATTTATTCCATCCTGACGCGTAACAAGAGAGGCAAACATGGTAGGAGACCGGATTGGCTTACAGGGGAAATCCTTGGTGAACTTAAGCACAAAAAGGAAGCTTACAAAAAGTGGAAACTTGGACAAATGACCAGGGAGGAGTTTAAAGGTATAGCTCGAGAATGCCGGGGGGTTATCAGGAAGGCGAAAGCGTAAATGGAATTGCGACTGGCTAAGGATGTGAAGGATAACAAGAAAGGTTTCTACAGGTATGTTAACAAGAAGAAGGTGATCAGAGAGGGTGTGTGGCCCATACTGGATGAAGAAGGTAACCTAGTGACAGATGATGAGGGGAAGGCTGAAGTACTCAATGCTTTCTTTGCCTCTGTATTCACGGACAAGGTGGGCTCCCGGACTAATGCACTAAGTGATGCAAGATGGGATGAAGATGGACAGCCCGTGGTGGGTAAAGAACAGGTTAGGAACTATTTAGAAAAGCTAAACGTACACAAATCCATGGGTCCAAATGTAATGCATCCAAGGGTACTGAGGGAGTTGGCAAATGTCATTGAGGAGCCTTTGGCCATTATCTTTGAAAAGTCATGGAGATGGGGAGAAATCCCGGATGATTGGAAAAAGGCAAATGTAGTGCCCATCTTCAAAAAAGGGAAGAAGGACGATCCAGGGAACTATAGGCCGGTCAATCTTACCTCGGTTCCTGGAAAAATCATGGAACGGAT